ACAGAGACAAAAATAAACTAAAAATCAAAGATTGGGAAAAGATATCAAAGCAAAGGGCAACCAAAAAAGGGCAGGAGTGTCAATATTAATTTCTGATAATACAGACTTTAAGACAAAAATGACCATAAAAGACCAAGAAGGACATTATGTAATGATTAAAGGATCAACTGAACAAAAAGATATAACCATAGTAAATATCTACACACCCAATGAAAGAGCCCCAAAATACATAAGTCAGACTTTAATATAATTGAAAAGACAGAAAGATGACTCCACAATAATAGTAGGAGACTTTAATACACCACTTTCAAAAAGAGATAGAACAACTGCAAAGAAACACAACAAAGATGCAGAAGAACTAAACAGTAAGATCAACCAAATTGACCTTATAGACAGCCACAGAGCACTCCAGCTAACAATAGCAAGATATACATTCTTTTCCAGCACACATGGAACATTCTCTGGTATAGACTATATAGTAGGCCACAAAGCAAGCATCAATAAATTTAAAAACTTTGAAATATTGCAAACTATCTTCCCAGATCCCAATGCTATAAAATTAGAAATCAACACTAGGAAGACCAAAGGAAAAAGAGCAAAGGCATGAACACTGAATAACACCCTCCTTTAAAAAGAAGGAATAATAGAAGAAATAAAAATGAAATTAAAATATTGCTTGAATCAAATGAAACTGAAAATATAACATACCAAAATATTGGGACATAGCAAATTCAATTATCAGGGGGCAATTTATAGCAATAGACGCACACATCAAGAAAGAAGAAAAAGACAAATCACCACCTTAACCCAACATCTCCAACAATTAGAAAAAGAGCAGAAAAAAAAAAAAAAAGACTAGAAGTTGCTTCTTTGAAAAGATTAATAAAATTGACAAAGCACTAGCAAAATTAACAAAGGAAAGGAAGGAGAAGATGCAAATAACACAAATAAGATATGCAAGTGGTGACATCACAACAGAAATAAAAACAACAATATCAGGATACTGTGAAGAACTGTACTCCAACAAATTTGAAAACCTAGAGGAATGAACAGATTTCTAGAAATTCACTACTTACCTAAACTAACACAGAATGAGGTAGAAAATTTGAACATACCCATAACAAAAGAAGAAATTGAACAGGTCATCAAAAAATTAACAACTGAAAAACATCCAGGCCCAGATGGTTTCACTGGAGAATTCTACAGAATGTTCAGAGAAGAGCTGACAGCAATCCTACTCAAACTATTCCACAATATACAAAAGGATGGAATCATCCCAAATTCATTATGAAGCCAGCATAATCCTCTTACCAAAACCAGGCAAAGACACCACTAGAAAAGGAAACTACAGACCAATATCCCTCATGAATATAGATGAAAAAATCTTCAACAAAATCTTAGACGGTAACTCTAACATATCAAAAAGATAATACATCATGAACAAGTGGAATTCATACTAGATATGCAAGGATAGTATGGATTATGTCTCAATATAAAGAAAACAAAAATCCTCACAACTGGACCAATGAGCAGCATCACAATAAATGGAGAGAAGATTGAGGTTGTCAAAGAATTCACGTTGCTTGGTTCTACAATCGATGCCAATGGAAGCAGCAGTCAGGACATTAGACAACGTGTAGCATTGGGAAAGTCAACTGCAAAGGAACTGTATCAAGTGCTGAGGAGCAAGGATATCTCCTTGAGGACTAAGGTGTGCCTGACACAAGCCATGATATTTCCAATCGCCTCGTATGCATGTGAGAGCTGGACAATGAATAAGGAAGACCGAAGAAGAGTTGATGCTTTTGAGTTGTGGTGCTGGCGAAAAATGCTGAAAGTACCATGAACTGCTAAAAGAACTAACAGATCTGTCCTGGAGGAAGTGCAGCCAGAATGCTCCTTGGAAGCAAGAATGGCCAGACTTCATCTCACCTATTTTGGTCATGTTGTAAGAAGGGACCATTCCCTGCAGAAGGATGTCATGCTTGGTAGGGTGGAGGGTCGACGAAAGAGGGGGAGGCCTTCAACAAGATGGATTGACACGGTGGCTACGATGATGGGTTCAAGTATAGCAGGGATTGTGGGGCTGGCGCGGGATCAGGCAGTGTTTTTCATTCTGCTGTGCATGGGGTCGCTATGAGTCGGAAGCGACTTGACGGCACTTAACAACAACAACAACGTGCAAGGATAGTTTGACATTAGAAAAACAATCAATGTCATCCATTACATAAATAAAATAAAGGAAAATAATCACATGATCATATCAATAGATGCAGAAAAGCATTTGATAAAATTCAGCACCCATTCTTGATTAAAAAAATAAATAAAACTCTCAGCAAAATAAGAATAGAAGGGTAATTACTCAACATAATAAGGGCATATATGCAAAACCAACAGCCAGCATTATTCTCAATGGAGAGAGACTGAAACTATTCACCTTGAGAACAGAAACCAGAATGGGATGCCCTCTATTTCCACTTCTATTCAACCTTGTATTGGATATCTTAACCAGGGCAATAAGGCAAGAAAGGAAAATGGAAGTCATTCAAATCAGTAAGGAAGAAGGAAAACTATCCTTTTTTGCAGTTGATATGATTCAATACATAGTAAACCCAGGAGACGCAGTAAGAAAACTACTGGAACTTATTGAAAGATTTAGCATAGTGACGGGATCCAAGATCAACATTCAAAAATCAGTTGGATTCCTCTACACCAGCAAAGAGGTCTCTGAAGAGGAAATAAAGAAATCAATACCATTTACAATGGCTACCAAAAAAAAATAAAATACTTGGGAATAAATCTTACCAGTGACACAAAAGACGTGTACAAAGAGAACTACAAAAGAGTACTTCAAGAAACCGTAAGAGATCTACATAAACAGAAGAACATAGCATGCTCATGGATAGGAAGATTGAACATTGTGAAAATGTCAATACTACCCAAAGCAATCGAATCATTCAATGCAATCCCTATCCAGATTCCATCAACTTCTTTAAAGACATGGAAAAACCAATCATTAACTTTATATGGAAAAGAAAGAGACCTTGGATTAGCAAAGCACTGATGAAGAGGAACAAAGTAGGAGGTTTCACACTTCCATATCTCAAAACCTACTATAGAGGCACAGTTGTCAAAATAGCCTGGTGTTGGTACAATGACAGACACATAGACTAGGGGAACAGAATTGAGAACCCAGAAATAGACCCATCAACCTATGGTCAATTGATCTTTGACAAAGGGCAAAAATACATTCAATAGGGAAGAGATAGTTTCTTTCACAAATGGTACTGACAAAACTGGATATCCATTTGCAGAAAAATGAAATCTATACCTCACACCATACACAAAAACTAATTCTAGGTGGATCAAAGGTTTAAATGTGAAACCTAAACTATAAAGTTCATTAAAGAAAAAATATGGGCAAACTTAGGGGCCATAATTTATGGCAAAAATAGACTATCAAGCATAATGCTATATGCACAAAGAGCAGAAGATAAACTAGGTAATTGGGACCTTCTAAAAATTCAATTCTTACATGCATCAAAAGACTTCTCCAAAAGAATAAAAAAAGAACCTACAGAATGGGAAAAAAAAATTCAGCATATCATCCAATTAAAAAATGGGCAGAAGACATGAACAGACACTTCACCAAAGAGGATATTCAGGCAGCCAACAAACACACGAAGAAATGTTCACGATCATTAGCCATTAGAGAGATGCAAATCAAAACAACCATGAGATACCATCTCACCACAGCATTAATACCAAAGTTCAGCAAGACAGAAGATAATAAATTCTGGCAAGGATGTGAAGAGGTTGGGACTCTCATGTACTGCTAGTGAGACTGTAAAATGATACAACCACTGTGGAAATTGGTTTGATGATTCCTTAAAAAACTGGAAATTGAAATACCATTTGGGCCAGCAATCCCATTACTATGTATATATCCTTAAGAAGTGAAAGGCAGGACACGAATAGATACATGCACATCCATGTTCATCGCAGCACAATTCGCAATAGCAAAAAGACAGAAACAACCTAAGTTCTCATCAATCAAGGAATGGATAAACAAACCCATGATATATATACACAATGGAATACTATGCAACCCTAAAGAATAATGTAGAATCTGTAAAATACCACATAACATGCATGAACTTGGAGGACATTATGCTAAGTGAAATAGGTCAATCACTGAAGGACAAAGATTGTATTAGTCCACTATTTTTAAAAGTCAAGGAAAGGTTCATATACAGAAAGAAAATTTATTTGTGGGTTACCAGGGATGGGAGGGAAAATTTCTAGACAGGTTGGGAAAAAAATAGATAGATGGCTAGATAGATATATAGATACAGAAACCAAAGATTATTAGTGGTTATCAGGGTTTTTTGGTGATGGGTTATCAGGGGTAAGAAAAAGGGGGAAAGGGGAAGCTTTTGTTTGGGGGGTAGTGAGTTTATGCTAAAACATGATAGAAATTTTGGAAAAGGATAGCAATAATGGTTGGCACTATGTGAAAAATGTAATCAGTGTCCCGAGCTGTAAATGTAGCAGCTGTAATGTTGGCAAATGTCTTGTTTTGTATGTTTCACCACAATAAAAGAGAAAAAATAAAATAAAAAAGATCATCACCCATACCCAGTGATAACCTTTTCCTGTAATCATAAGCAGAAAAAGTGAGATTTCTCTTTCATTTTAGTTGATGTCACATAATAGGATCTTTATCATGAGTATAATTTACAAAGCATTTTGCTGCATGACATAAAAGTAATAGCTACATTTAAAATACACCATATTTTTCTTCCATTTCTCAAAAGATTGCATTTCATAAGTAGCCTCATTTATAAATTTTGTTATCTATTTTCACCAGCATTCTCCATTTCTGCCAAGAGAAAGAACAAGAGTTTTACATTCTCTCTACATTATAGCTCAACTACCACTTACCAAACCATAACATTAATAAAGAGTTGGCACATCTTATATATAATGTAGATACCTACTGTTTTTCTTGTACAGAAGAACTTCAAAGCAATTTGACTCATAATTGTCAAAAGTCTGCCTGACTTTCTCAATGGTCTTCTTGTCAGTCAATTCCCCATACATAAAACTGGAAAGAGAAAAAAAATCCATTTCAGTTTTGGGTTGCTTTCCAAATGCTACCTAAAATCATAGAGTAGTTTTTGTTTTACTAAGTACTCAAATTTACTTAGAAAATTTAAATGTTGCTCCCACAAAATGAACTAAATGATTTGCACTATGTTGTGACCTTGGTACCACATGACTGATTGTTCAATGGCTTGCAAAAAGCTAGCTTTAATAGTCACTTCATTCATACATACACACATAACACACAAAGGTAGACAGTCTGCCCTTTACACAGTTGTGATATGCATGGATTTCAGTTATCACGGTTTATTTAAACAAGTTTCCAACAACATAGTCCAATTTTCAGTTGTCACAGTATATTAACTGTGAGTAATTGCATGAAGTATAAATTTCATGATTTACTCTTCAATTCACAAATCATCAGTAAATAGTATGATCAACATGATTTTGACCAACCACACCACTTTAATTGGTCACTGTTCATCTGTTATTCAGTTCATGCACAAACAGCAAAGCATGAAGCTGTGTTGCTTCTATATCTCCCAGTCATAAACCCATGTGATATTTTATGAAAATTGGTAATTGAAAGCAGGAGTTAGCCAACAAAGATTAAAGTGTAGTAATGAAATGAAAAGTGTTGAGCTCTGGTAGCATAGTGCCTAAGGCCCTTGAGTGCTAACCAGGAGGCTGGCGGTTCAAACCCACCAGCCACTCCTCGGAAGGAAGGTTGGGCAATCTACTTTCATCGTGATACTGCCTCGGAAACCCAAGGAGGGGTCACTATGAGTCGGGTCCAACTCGACGGCACATAACAACACAACAACAACAATGCTGGAAGTGAAATTTGAATCAAATACAAATGAAGACATGTAAGAAAGAGATGACTGTGAGAATGTTGGCATTATTGCCATTTGGAAGAGTCTAAATATACAGCCAAAGGAAGTTAGTGAAAGGGTACTTATCAACATAAATGAGAGGAGTAGTTGTGACTAAAAGGATGAAAAGTTCTCAGAGGAACTGGGACAACAGGTTAAAAAAAAAAAATGACCCAGGAATCCCACGCCTAGGTATATACCCTAGAGATGTAACAGAAATGACATGAACAGACATATGCACATGTTATGTTCATTGCAGAACTATTTACAATAGCAGAAAGATAGAAACAACCTGAGTGCCCACCAATGGATGAATGGATAGGTAAAATGTAGTACTTACATACAATGGAATAGTACTCAGTGATTAAAAAATAAATAAAAATGTGTTCCTAAAACATCTCACAATGTGGAGGAACCTGGAGGACACTGTGTTGAGCGAAGTAAGTCAATTACAAAAGAACAAATGTTCTATGCTTTCATTTTTATGAAATAACATGAGTAGATAAATACACAGAAACTAATGTTCAGTAATGGTTACCAGAGATGGGTGCCAGGGAGTGGGGGATTCATTCCCTAGATAGTTATTGTTGTTATTGTTATTAGAGGCCATTCAATCAGCCCCAACTCAGACACTTGTGTTTGGTGATGGGAAAGATAACACCTAATGAAGATGAAGGAGCTCTGGTAGCATAGTGCCTAAGGCACTTGACTGCTCACCAGAAGGCTGGTGGTTCAAACCCACCAGCCACTCCTCGGAAGGAAGGTTGGGCAATCCTACTTCCGTAGTGATACTGCCTCGAAAACCCAAGGAGGGGTTGCTATGAGTCGGGGCCAACTTGACGGCAAACAACAACAACAATGAAGGTGATGTGTGCACAGCATGACCAAGGTAGCCTACACACACACACACACACACAAAGACTAGACTTTTTGGTAATTTCTATGGCATATGTAATTTTACAACAGCAACAACCAAAAACTATATGTACAAGTATATATGTATGTAGGCATGTGTGTGTGTGTATATGTATATATATGTATATGTATATATGTAAGCATATGTGTGTATATATACATATATGAACATATGTATAAATGTATGCATGTATATATAGATGTATGTGTATGTATATGATATGTATATATATGTGTGTACATGCATATATATTCACATATATAATAAAGAACGTTGGGGGCACAGTTATGAATACTTCTCAGATATAACCAAACACCTCATGGGATTGTCTTCTGAGTTTGGAGGTTTAGGATGATATTCTCATGGAATAACTCAGTCATTTGTCATAACATAGTTCATAAAGTTTATGCTCTATATCCTAGTTTGGTGAGTAGTATCTGGGGTCTTAAAAGCTTTTAACTGGCCATCTAAGATACAATTATTGGTTTTTTCATCTGGAGTAAAAGAGAAAAAAGGAAATCAAAGACTCAAAGAAGAAATTACCATATTTTTATACAAATAATATGCTTGTTATTTATTTATTTTTGCCAATCAAGCCCTCCCTCCACGATATAATTCCCTAAGCATGCCATGCTATTTTTTTTTATATATACATTTCTGTTAAAAAAAAAAAAAAAAACCATAGTGCATTTTCAAAAAATACCTCAAGGAGGGAGGGTACAGTTAGTGGAAAAAAACATAACATGCACATTACTTGAGTAAAACTATGGGAGCCTACAGGACTAACAGTCTACACAAACTAACAGTCTACACAGCCTTTTCTGTCCTGAGACCAAAACTCACTACCATTCTGATCAGAGTCACAACAGATAGACTCTGATGCAGGGGAGAAAATGTGGAACAGAACCTCAAGTTCTTAAAAAAAAAAAAAAAAAAAGACTTCCTGGACCAATTGAGACTGGTGGTTTCTGCAAAACTATTACCCTGAGATACTCTTTAAACTTTAAACAAAACTAGCTAAATAGCAGATTAGCTCACAAAACAAAAAATATTACCCATGAGTACTATTCTCCCTTTAAAAATCATGTATATGAGACCAAATGACCAACAGTTACTGTAAAACAAAGATAAGAAGGTGGGGAAATTAGATGAATGGAAACAGACAACCAGAATGGATATAATGAGAATATGCACTCATTGTGAAAAATGTAACCAATGTCACTGAACAATTGGTGCAGAAATCGCTGAGTGGGAATCTAGCTGCTCTGTAAATTTTCACTGAAAATACAATAAAATATTTGAAAGAAATACAACAAAGTCCAATGTAGGTAGAATTCTGAAGATGAAAACTATCAGGTAATTTTTCAAATCAACTATGAAAAGTCTATACTATAATATATTCCTAGTTTAGCCTTCTCCAGAGAAAAATCATCTGTTTTTCAGTTTGTAAGATTCCAACACATTTTTATTTATTTTTTTTAACCACTGAGTACTAAATAAAAGCCCTTTTAAAACAATCTGAATGGTTTTACAAAGTAGCATTTCATTTCTCCCAGTGTTCCACTCATACTTTTAAGACTATTCTGCCACATATTTCCAGTGACCGAGCATCAAAAACTTCAAAGTGGTGAAATGTAGGAGTTAAATAATAAGATGCATTTCAAAACTAAGAACTATAAAGAATGTCTGAAATGTACAAGGCAAGCATCCTGGAAGTTAATTCAACCTACGAAATTGTCCAACCTACTGACTAAGTCAGTCATCCCATGTTCTCTATGCAAAATGTGTTTATTTATTTGGCTTTGTTACATGGAAATGTCAGAAGTCTTTACATAGTTTCCCACATTCTGACTCATGATGGCTGATGCTCAATGCAACATTTCCGAGGTGGTAAATCTTCACAGAAGTAGATTGCCCTGTCTTCCTTCCATATAATAGCTGGTGGGTTTGAACCTCCAACTTCTGGTTAGCTATTAAATGTCTTAGACACTGTGCCACCAGAGCTCCTTAATGGAATTTGAGGGGATCCAAATTTTAGAAATGGTAATCATCAGGTTTAGAAACTATTCTAAACAAAATATTCATATTCTCTTAGAGCACCAAGTCCCCCTTCTTCTAGAACAGTATTCTTATTTTATTGGAAGGCAAATAAAATTGGATTCACAGAAGTGATTTAACTGTGCTATTGGGCAGTCATGATGTATTTGAGGACTACTGAACTTGGTGAATCACTTACAAACTGTACTCATAGGCAAGTCACATAATGTCTCTAAGCTTTAGTTTCCTCCTCAGTAAAATGATGTTACCTCAAAGAATGAAGAGGATCAAATGGATAATGTACATGAAAGTTGCAAATTATAACATGCTGTCTAACTGCTAAATTATTACAGGAATACTTTGTATGGATGGGGTTCCATACAACTTCACTCTCTTGCTTTTCCACAATTCTACAACACAGATTGACAGATTGCTAATGGGCAAGGTCACTGTGTATTAGAAGGAAATGCACATGGGTTTGTCCTGCTTCTTCCTTTGTGAATTTATAAGTTTAATGCATAAACTGACCCAGTGTCTGCTCCTGGATAATCTGGACATTTCTCTTCTCACACGACTGTGGTAAGAGTTAGTCATGTAACTAAGAGAGAAGTCCCCCATGGGTCTGGCCAAGGCCATACTCAGCTTGTCTAAGCTTTTGGCAGTATATCCCTCATGTGTAGTCTGCCCTAGAAAACTTAGGGGGCAGGTGGTTTTTGTCTGTAGTAGGACTGATTTATTCTTGGATCTGTTGTTCTGCCATCAAAATCTTGCAAATAAGCCTCTTGATGATACCTAACAGTAAGGATGACAATGCCTAAGGCATCTGACCACTAACCAGAAGGCTGGTGGTTCAAACCCAACAGCCGCTCCTAGGAAGGAAGATTGGGCAATCTACTTCAACTGTGATACTGCCTCAGAAACCCAAGGAGGGGTTGCAAGGAGTTGGATCCAACTCAACTGCAGTGAGTTTGGTTTTTGAGTTGAAAGGGGAAAGGAATCTTACAAACTGAAAAACACATAACCCAATTTATTCTAATCTACCAAATGTCAACAATGTTCCTGAACTAAAAACCACAAACATTCAATCATCACTACTAAACAATAATGTTATCTACAGGCTGTAGCTTCCAGACTAGCAAATGTTTCATCAAAGAAAGAACATATATTGACTTAATGCAGTAGTGGTCTCCAGCTCAGAATCAGGACAATAGAATCATTATAAAGGTTAACAAACGGATGGACTGAGATCTGTCTATCAGAGGATCAAGGGACAGGAAGTCTGAGAAAGTGAGGAGAAATCACAAAGAACACAGCTTCCAAAATGCGCAAGAGGTGGTTCTAGAATAAATCAAAAGCATTACTTTAAACTGTAGATTGTAACCAAAAGGTTTCACAACCCATTAATTTATATGTGCTTAAAAGGATTTAGAGTCATAAGTGATAGACCTGTGACATATAATCAAGGGAAACAAGGGAGAACGCTGGACATCTCTAACCTTTGAAGACAGATATCCCTGAGGCATTTGTGCCTTCCTACATTTCCTCTCAGTGCCACCGACAGAAACAGAACCCTCAGCCAAATAGAACCAGACAGACTGGCATCCACCACTAGTAATGTACTCTCATTGGCGGCTGGGTTAACAAAACTACTTGTGAAATACATCCCATAAAGCATCTCTTACTATTTCTGCTTCGTTGTTTAATTTGATGGCTTGCGTAAAGGATCATTAAAGGGATTGCCGGAGATGGGGGTGGTTCAAACCCTCATCTACTACTCACTGCTCTCTGCCTACAAGATTGTTCTTCTCACCCCTCAATCCTAAAAATTTAGCAACGCTGAAGTGTCATGAGAATGATTTTTGAAATTTTAGCTGAAACAATGTGACGCCACTTAGTACAGATATGTTTAAAAAAAATAGAAATTTAGATACTATTATATTTTAACAAAATGGAGGAAAAATGGAAACAATCTAACAGCAGTTATTTTATACACTCTGAACACATTCTATACTCAGCCAGCCTACTTCTGGGCACAGAGCAAAGAAAACTTCTCACACAAGATGCATGTGATGATAATAATCGTGTGTGATGTCAAAGTGTCGGAACTTGGATTCCATGACTAGTAGAACGGATCCAAAAATGCAGGACGTAGAGACACTGGAATGCTAACCAACAGTCAGACATAATGAAATGGATTTTCACGTTGAAACCTCAAAACCATAATATTGAGTGAAAAGATTAAGAAACCATAAGTTTTACTGTACAATATGAATAATGTTGGGCTTGGAATCATACACACACACACACACAAATTACATATTTAAATAGAAGAGGATTAGGAACACATACAATAAATGACAGAATGACTATGTATGGTAAGAGGAAGGGGATGAGATTAAGGTGAAAAGAAATAATATTAAATAAAGAAACTCTACCCAAAGCAATAGTAAAATTTGACAATCTAAGGAATATGCTTAATTGTGTGCACCTGGTCCAAATGGGGGAAGGGTGAGAGAGAAAAGGAAGGAAAGAGATAAGAGCAGAAGTAAATTTCAGCTCCTTGATATAAAAAAAAAAAAGACAAATTAATGATTTTTTCTTTTTTCATAAAACAATATACTTTTGAATGTTAATAATAGGACATGTAATCATTTACCCATTTGCCACCTTAATCATATCAAACTTAATTCATCTGTAAATAAAAATGATTTTTTCTGATATATCATGCCATAAAGTGCATTTTCTCCATATAAATGAAATGTGTTGATTTGTAGCTCTTATTCTGTCTGTTTACAATTTGTCAGTATTAAGTCAGTGAAATTCTTTGAATTATTACAAGGCTATTCTGTGTCATATGATTTATCTATACTTTGGTTTGGAATTCAATGGCTCCAAAACACTATGATAACTTTTATGTACTAATCTTGTATTAAGGAGCTCTGTTGGTTCAGTGCCTAAGGCATTTGACTGCTAACTAGAAGGTTGATGGTTCAAACCCACTAGCTGCTCTACAGAAGGAAGATGGGGCAATCTACTTCCATAAAGATTTGTTGCCTCAGAAACCAAGTGGGGGTTGCTATGAGTCAGAATTGACTAGATGGCAGTGGTTTTAATTCTGTATTAATAAATGCATTTTTTTCCTTCTTTCTACTTCTTTATCTTTTCTATTCAGAGGCCTTTATATATTATACAGGAAATGAAAAGCTACAGATTTACAGTTAAAGAAAATCAGAATCATCATGCAAATATGTTTTTAAAATGCTTTTTATTAATGTGTGTGTATGTGTGTGTATACACATACATAGAATGTATCTGGTATAAATATGGAGAAAAAGGTAAATAAACTCCTGGGTGTCCTTGATCAACTCCTCAGTGTAGTTCTACCCCAGTGTTCTCTTCCGTAACATGAAGAAGTTGGACTAGGAAGAAAAAAAAATCACATCCCTTGCAGCTCTAAAATAACATGATTTTAGTGTTTATTTGAGTGAGAGTTTAAAGAAAAAAGTAAGTGATTGGAGGAATCTCATCTGTCCTAACAGAAATATTATCAGAAAGTTTTAGGTGCTAAATTATTTCCTTATATATATTTCGTTGTTTCTTTTTTCTGATCGCTTTTTCCTTAGTACTCTCTTTAATCTTCCAAAAATGACATATACTTACACCTCATCAACTATCTCATTATCTGACATTTTGCATTAATGACAATAGTGCAAAATCTACTATCCAACTATTTTGCACATTAACAGTGTACATCTGGCAGTAACAAATGTCAAGGTGTGAGGCAAGAGTAATGCTGGCTGTGATGGTTAAGGTTATGTGTAGATTAGACTATGATTGTCTGTGGCCTGAAAGTTATGTAATGATATAATTTGACACTTATGTAATGATGCAATTATGTAATGATACAGTCATCTCCCATTTTGTGATAATGCCAATTTTGTATAACGACCTGGACTTTGGAATCTAACTGTGGTAGTTAAGGTTGTATGTCAATTTGGCTGGGCCATGGTTTTCAGTGGCAGGGCAGCTGGATGTAGCTATTCCCCATGATGAGATTGTAATCACAGTTCCATAGTGGAATCTGCTGAGAGCAGCTAAGAAACTGCCTTTGGGGTGTGGCCTGCATCCAGAATGTAAGGAGAAGTTTTGAGATTTGGATTGGAATTCCAATCTAGCTCTTTGGCACATTTTGGATCCTGCTTTTAGCCAAGTCTTTATCTCCAGTTCCTGGACTTGAACCAGAGGCCTGTCATGTTGTCTGCTGATCTTGGCATTGTTCCTGGACTTGAACCAGGCATGCCATATCATCTGCCAATCTTGTGACTGTGCCATTTTACCTTTAGACCTTGGGTCTATCAGCCTCAGCAGCCAGCAGCCGCATGAGTCAGAAAAAACCTCCCGCTCCAGTGAGTCCGAACCAAGAGGCAGAGCTGAAGCCCAAGGTCAGGTGGGCTTCACAAGTCCCTAGAGCTGGCACTCTGAATTCAGACTTCCAGGCTCCTAAACTGTAAGAGAATGAATTCCTGTTTGTTAATACCATCCACTTGTGGTATGTCTGTTATAGCATCACTAGAGAACCAAGACACTAACCATGTTGATAGTTGAAGAGTGAATGTATTTTTAAAAGAATTGTTGTAAATACATTTATGAATACATAAGCCAAACAAAATGAAAATGGTGCAATGTAACAATATTACAAAATACAAATAATTCACATAGGATGTAAAAACTTTATTTGATGTTATTTAAATGCACATGAGCTGTGTTGTACTTAGTTGAGGGGTTGTTTATTGTACTTTATTCATGACAATTTTAGTTGCTCCAGAGGTATTGATGTCCTCTGTGGTTCATGAGGTATGGCACCCCTCTGACTACTCAGCACCAAGGATAGGTCCTGCCTCGTAGTAGGTGCTCAAGAAAAAGTATGTTTTGAATACCTTAATGAACTCACAGATATGCAGAAATCTTTTTCTTTGTAGAGGTTCTCATCAACAGCTCTTAAACTATGTATTTCCACTGGCAATTTAATCACCCTAATATTGTAATATAATTTTACTCTACAGTTTTTAGATGCCAGTTTATGTAAGGTTAGCCCTTTAATAACATTCAGCATTTAGCTACATTTCAGAAAAGATTTCTGGTCTATTACCCACCTGCAAGTGCTGCTTTTCTGCATGACGTCAGCTCGATGATAGCCAGAGAGTTTACAAAAACCGTCATTACTATAAACTACAGGCCAATCCACAATCTGGGCATTTCCCAGCAAGAAACTTGATTCTGAGGGGAAAATAAAGAAAGTTAGTTAGCTTTATCTAACAATGTACTTCTTAAGGCAGATTTATAAAGATAGGCAAATTCAACTATGGTTTGTTATGGTACAAATAATATAGCCTTTTTTAAAAAAAAAAAATTGACATCAGTTTAACATGATCATCAAATGAAGCCCACAATAAATACAAGTATTTATAGAAGCTAAGAACTTCAGTTAGAAGAAGCGAATTTATAATATCTCTTTGCATCCAAGTATTTCCTAAGCTTTAAAAATAAAACATAGCTAGTATTGAGTAAAAGCTAACTACTACAATAATTATACCTAAAGACAGATTAATTTATTAAGAATAGGGCTTACAGTCACTTCTCCATAAAGTTAGAATGTTGAACTTGATAAGAGATAAATTGAATAACCCCTCCAAAAATTCTTAGACTTTTGGTATAATAGGACAAAATTGTTTTGCCATTAGACTGATCTTGAGAAGCCTGATTTAAAATAGTACTGAAGAATCTTTTTTTTTAATAAATATGTTTTTAAAAAATGATCCAAAATTGTTATTTTCAACCACATGCAAAGACAATTTGGAAAGTACCAGTGTTCTAGATAAAAAAGACATCACTTCTCTATTTTGCAGAGAAAAAGATATTGTTCTATGTGTAAATGTTAACACAAAAAATTACATTTTCTGGTATCAACCTTGATATTTTTCTGGTATCAACCTTGATTGAAAATCCAGTTGCTTTAAGCAGTAACTTTACCATATTTTTGGGTCATGTGATAAATATATTAATGGTAAAATGAAGAACAAAGCATTAAAAAAATTTAAAAGGAATAATGTGTTTTAAAATATCCAATAATCTATTTTTTGCAGTGGTTAATGTATTTGACTGCTAACCTAATGGTCAGTGGTTCAAACCCAACAGCATCTCCACAGGAGAAAGATGAGGTAGTCTACTTCCATAAAGATTTACAACCTTGGAAACCCTATGGGGCAGTTCTACTCTGGAATCAACTTCATGACAAGTGGGTTTGATATCTTAAAAATAACTCTTTGAATTCATATTAAAGGTAGTGTACTAAAAAGAGAAACTAACTTATGGAAGCCCTGACTCATAGTCAACATGAACTGAGTAGTTGCGATGTGAAAAAGCACTGCTCTGGTTCAGACAACGGCATAGAATAAAGGTCAACAAAAGACACCCTTTGCTCTCAAAACCTTCTATCTTTTGTGGAAAAAGATAGTTGCTACAAACAATTACAAGGCACAATAAAACAAATGCTAATTTGAAATTCAAGAAAACTAGGAGAGTTATTCCGGTTCTTTTAATAACAGAATAGCTTGCATCAGGCAAATCCTCCTTTATCACAATTATAAACCTGGATAAAGCATGAAATATGTATGTTTCAAAGTAGAATCAGCCAAAACTAGGCAGAAAGTAGAGAATAAGAACTCTTGAAAAGGGAAACACACTCACATTTAACTCCCAATTCCTCTGATAGCACCTCCTAGTTGTCAGAGTGCATGGGATGGTAGAGCTCTACTCAAAAGTCTCAGAGATGTGAGGAGTCAACATCCTTCCACACTTTACCATGGCACCCAGATTACCCACAGACATTCCACAGCCCATAACCACCTCAAAGTTTGGCTTTGTCTATCTGTCCAATCTCATCTCTCACCATTCTACCCTCTTCTCTGAGTAGTAGTCACACTGACTTTTCTTAAACACTTTTAAGCTCCAAGTATCCTTCCACCATAGAAAATGGACTTACCATTCTCCCTACCTGAACATCATTATTCTCCTCTGCACCTGGTTGATACTTATTCTTATTTTAGATCTTAATTCAATTGTCATGACCTAGGAGATGCTTTCCCTAACCCACGATTAGGTCATATCCTTGGTATATAATTCTAATCGCTTCACTAGAATTGATCTCTCTCTCTCTCTCTCTCTCTCTTTCTCTCTCTCTCTCTCTCTCACAAACACACACACACGCACACACACACACATATCATGGATCTCCTCCTGTACCAGACCATATAGCATCTTTAGTAATTTTTTTAATCCATTTTAATCATAGAGTAGTATGTGATAAATACAGTTATAAAAAAACAAACTCACTGCTGTCAAGTCAGATCTGACTCACAGCAACCCCTCCTTGAGTTTCCAAGGTGGTATCACTATGGAAGTAGATTGCCCTATTTTCCTTCCAAGGAGTGACTGGTGGGTTTCCAAAGCTGTAAATATTTACAGAAACAGACTGTCCAAATTTTCTTCTATGGAGCAACCAATGGGTTTGAACCACTGACCTAGTTAGCAGCCAAATGCCTTAACCACTATACCACCAGAGCTTCTTAGATTCTGTCACTACAACAATAAAATTCTTTTGTAAAACCCTTTGATGTTGAATTGAAACATTATTAGTTACGTTACTAGTCACTTAGTGAAAGCCTTTGTTACTTTTTCTCCTTTTCCTTTAGTTGCTACTTGATTCTCAAAAAAGTTATTGATATAGGTTCACAAATGCTACTTACCACAATAATGTAGCTAATGCACAAGGAAAATCTGACAAAATAAGCTGCTATAAAAACACCAGCAGCCAGATACATAGGTTGACAGGCTAAGTGATCAGGTATGGGTAGGCAAAAGGGAATATACCAATGACCATATGTAAGTTTGTCAGGGGATATTTCTACATACATATTTGTATGTGCTAAAAGAATGTCCATATGTATAATAGAACCAACAGGGGCAATAGAAGGCTGGCAGTTCAAACCCACCAGCCACTCCTCAGAAGATTGTGCAATCTACTTCCATAGAGATACCACCTTGGAAACCCAAGGAGGGGTCGCTACGAATCGGAATCAACTTGACAGCAGTGAGTTTGGTTTTTTGTTTGTTTGTTTGTTTGTTTGTTTTGTTTTCTTTAAACAGGGGGAAAAGTTATGATAACTTCTTAGCCATAGACAAATACCTTGAGGGAGTGACTCACTGGGCCTATGGGCCATGGTTGCAGGGAACATCAAGCTCAACTGGCATAATGTACTACACAAAAACATTGCTCTACATCTCACTTTGAGGAGTAGAAACTGAGGTCTTAAAAGCTTAAGAGCAGCCATCTAACATGCAACTATTGGTCTCTCCTCACTTGGAGCTAAGAAGAATGAAGAAAATCAAGGACACATGGAAACAATTAGTCCAAGGGACTAGTGGACCATGTGAACCTTACCGTACATGATCCTGAGACTAGAAGATCTAGATGATGCCCAGCTACCACTGTCAAACACTTGGAAAAGGATCAAAATAAGGGATCCTTGATAGAGTGGGAAAATATGTGGAACAAAACTCAAAATCAGGAAAGACAAGGCTTACTGGTCTAATAGAGACTGGTAAAACACCTAACACTATGGCCCGTAGTCACCCATTGGGCCTGGAATTGAACTCAATCCTGTGGCTTTCAGTCAAATGATAGACAAGCCTACCAAAAAAAAAAAAAAAAAAAAAAAAAAAAGGAAAAAAAAATAAAAAAAAAAAAAAAAAAAAAAAAAAAAAATTACACCAGGTAGATACACTCCTTAGAACAATCAGTCATGGGAGATCAGAAGGGAAGCATTTGCACAGGAAGACAGTTCAGAGGGCAGGAATGCAGAGGAAGGAAGGACACTGGAAAAGGTAACCACAGGGAGGAAGTAGGAAGAAAGCTGTTACCTTATGGGAATTGCCATCAACGTCATGAAACAAAATGTGTATGAACTATTGAATGGAAAAAAAGTTTGCTCTGTAAATGTTCACCCAAATTACAATGAACAAACCAAACCAAAGCTCACTGCTGTCAAGTTGAACCTGACTCATAGCAACCCCTCCTGGGGTTGTAGTATCACTATGGAAGTAGATTGCCCAAGCTTCCTTCCAAGGAGTGGTTGGTGGCTTTGAACCGCCAGCCTTAGCTCTGACCAGGATGCATAAGAAGGTTCAAAAAGTAAATTAACATAGAGTTAACCTTGTACATATATTGATACATGTAAGCTGAACTTATAAATATGTTACTGTCATTATAACTAACTACAAGGATATTTTATTTAAAAATAATTTCTGCTGAAACACTGTACAAAAATGCATAGTCAGTTTGGCATCACCCCCTCTCACAGTTTCACCTGGTGCAAGTCAATTCCTCCCACACACCTCTAGTGACACCACTGTACGATGTTTTGACATGATATACATTTTCCTCACAGATCTTATCACAGTTGCAATTTTATACTTATTTGGATTATGACTTGATTAATGGCATAGTCTGCTGACTATAATCTCTATAAAGACAGAGCTCATGCCAGTGTTGCTTGCATTCAATCCTCAGGTGCCTAGCACAGTACCTGGCATATACTAGATGCTTATTTATTGGTTGACTATATGAGTAGTTGAATGAATTAATATATCATTGCAGGGATGTCTCTTTATATAATTGATATCATGAAATTCAGCAATTTATGCCTCTCTAAATGCTTCAGGCATACTATTTTTGTCTTTTCAAATGGATGATATATTCCTAAAGATCATAAATTATGTCTATTCCACATATAAGGGTCACAATACAATAATTACTTAATGATTAAAGTCAGTATCCAGGAAAGAGAATCCCATAGGCTTAGAAAAGACCATAAATGTTAATTTGGAAAAAAAAAAAAAAAAACCCTGTTGCAAGAGGCCTCCTTTCCCCAGAACTATCTGGCAAACTAGTTTTTTTCACTTTTTTACTAAAACTCATAGTTTTTAATAGCAGATAGAACACTCAAATATACACAAACACACAATTGAAAAATGTTTACAAAACAACATTTACTACATGAGATGTTCTCTGCTATTTTCTTTTGTATTGCAATATTTAGTGTACTGGTCAAGATCCATTAAGTGTATTCAACAGTGCACTAAAGGGTTGCATCTCATGGTTTTTAAAGTATGCTGTAAGCTACTGTCAAACGACTTGAAGTCTTCCTTCCCTCAGAAAC